TAATGAGAATAGCTGGAAACACAATACACAAACTAGCAGACCCATTGGATACTAGGACTGCACTCAGATTGGGTCCAGCAATACATTCCTCTCTCTGTTAAAGGGACACTGTAAGTACCAAAATAACTTTATTTTAATTGCTCCCTGCAGTCTAACTGCTCAATTCTGTGCTATTTAGAAGTCAAATCACGTTGTTATACAGCCCAAGTCACACCTTGTGACTTGCACAGTCTCTCTACACATTGCCTGTAAAAACTGCATCAGCCTCCTGTGTGTAATTAAAGTTCAATTAACAGAAGCGGAGATAAACAATTGTAAAGTAAACATGCAGTGTTGTAAGAACGGATTGAAAATGAAACAGTTTTTTCATGCAGGCTGTGTCAGTCACAGCTAGGGGAGGTGTAGCTAAGTCAGAATAAACAGAAACAAAAGTGATTTAACTCCTAAATGGCAGTAAATTAAGCAGTGAGACTGCCGGGGCATAAACTATACACCAAAACCGCTTCATGTAGCTAAAGTTATTTTGGTTCTTAAAGTATCCCTTTAATACCATCGTTTGTATTAATATAAATAATGACATGCAAAGAGAATGTAAAAATCTGAAAGTTATTCACTGAAGGGAGAATTGTTAGAAATTCAATGTAGTTACACTGAAAGAATAACTAGGAGAATTTAAAGTTTGGATATTATGGCCTTAAATCTGAAACACTCTTCGTGTTCCTGATGGTTCTCACTTAAATAGCCCTGACAGAAGCTGCAGGTCACCCCCAGGACGCAGGATGCAGGCTGGTTCAGTTGTTGTTTACTGGGACGGTAAATCTAATTAGAGGCCCGTTGATAAAACTCACAATGAACTTGGTTGTGAATGCCGAGCGCAGTAATTACAGGCCGAGGCTTGCTCGGAATGTTTTTGAATTATATGAATGAAAGCCTACTCCCTTCAGGAAGGAACAAACACACACAATGAAGCTGTGGGGGGTAACAAGCCAAACAGGAGTGACAATACACGGGTTAAGATACTCACTCATGGTAATGGCCCACGCAGCGTCATTCCCTCCAGGTTACAAAGCACTTGAAGAATAAATATAGAGTAGGTATTTAGTGGAGCTGTGTGGAGATTTGCCTGGGAAATGTATAATGTGTACACAGACGTGGAACATTTCCATATCTGAATAGGCCATTCATCCCCTTGTTACCTAGAACAGGGCTTCCCACTAAGGAGCTGTCTGGCTGTAGCTGAACTGCAGCTCTAGTCACTCTTAGCCAGAATTATATTGGTCATGATCTAGCTGAGAATCATGGTAGTTTCGGTTATATATATATATATATATATATATATAATTTCTATTTTTTTTTTATAAGCACTCTTGATTCTAGTGGGCTCTAGAAAGCCTTGGAGTGAAGAACACAGATCTAGATTAGTTTTGTGCAGATCCAGGCCATTAAAGTAAATATACTCTTTGTGGTTTATCTACTAAACCATGCATTGGCAGTGAAGAGGTTGCTTGGTAAGCCAGTGAATATTTCACACTGAGAAAGGAAGGATTAAGATTATTAGCAATAATCAGTCAATAGGATGCTGTGACGTCATCACAATTTACAGAATGTCATTTTAATGGATACATATAATGTTAAAACATTAAATAAAGATGTTGTGTTACTTGTTTAAAAAAAAAAAAAAAAAGATTCACCAGATTAAAATATTTTAATTATTTTACCTTTCCAGGTATGTGCCTCCGAACTATTAATGTGAGCAATACTGATAGACTGCTCCCAATAAGTATTAATGTGAGTAATGGCAATAGGGTGCTGGGCACAGTCAGGGCAAATTCAGAGGGAGAACGGTCACTAATTAACAATTCCAGCTAAGGCGAGATGTACAAAGTCCTGAGAAGAGTCTAGCTGGACATTCCACACTTGGCCACATAGAAAAAATAATATCAAGAATATACAGTCATAATGGGACTTATAGAAAAGGGGAGTTTATGTTAATCTAAGACTTTTATTAATGAAACCCCTACAGTTGTCCAGTGAGGAGCATTGATGTACCCTGGCCAACACACAATAAAATAACTTTGGCAGGGACACCCGTAAAAACGCAGAACCCCAAATGTGATGTACATAGTGTCTGTCTTGTTGCTTCATTTAAGATCGCTGATTACCCAGAATGCCATGCACAGGTCTAAATATAAGATGTGGACATCATATGTGTAATCCCTTTGTGAGTTCCCACAAGTCCCAGTTTAGTGTAATTGCTATACTCCTCTAACAGACATCTAGAAGCAGATGTAGAGGTGTTATCGACGTAACATATGTTACTGGCAGATGTATTGGGAAGCAACAGATATGAAGTTGTCCTTTGGAACGTGGATGCAACCTAAGCTTAGTCATCAGAGCCTCTTCTTTTGTCGTCCTCTTGGCTTTTCATGATTCGGAAAGTCATTCCATCAACTATATTCATTTTCTGCGTCACCACAGCTCCGTTGCCAGGAGGTCTTTGTGTTTCAGTCAGACTATAACTTGACCCTCCCGTGTGACGGACAGAATTTCACACAGTTGCAATTCTATACATTAGTGTAGGAGCTGAATAATGCATCTCTCTGGTATAACTATAGAAAGTATTTGCATTCTCCTTATTTTCTGGCGGTCTAAGTATAGGAGCTCAGAACTCTTTTAACTTTTTATGTACCAGAAGCGTGGATACGCAGTGTTGCCACTAAGCACATTTTGTGAGTTTAGTTTTGGAATTGAAATAGTTTAAGGGACTCCTCCACTGCCCAAAAAAAAAAAAGGTATACATCTGTTTAGTAGATATACCCACAATGAAAACTTGTATGCATTTTTACATTGTGGGTGTATTGAAAAACGGCTTGAGAAAAAGCTAAAGATCTGTCTGTCGAATATGCAAGCCCTCCCGTTCTAACCCCGCCCAGACCTTCTGTGACTGCCCAATCACAGACTTCCCAATGCATCTCAATGAGAAGTCTTTGCAAGGCGAGTGCTCGGAGCAATTGCTGCCTCTTGAGTTTATCTCCACTGAGCTAACCAAACAGCCGGGAGAGGGGAGGGTAAAAGTTAATTTATAAAAGTTCCTTTGGAATCTTGCAGCTTGCTGGCGATTGATGTAATGAGCTGCAAAGAGAAGCATATCTCCCCTCCCTCTTATTTCTTTCAGACCTCCCCATCTCCTTGTAGTCCTTAAAGTGGCTTTGTCATTTCTGGGGTATTTGCATAATTTGGTGGCCGTGGGGTGCAGGGGAATGGAAGTTTTACTTACCTGAACCTGTACCTCACAGCCGCCACTAGCGTGAGATTTCAGCACTGAGGTCTATGTAGGCGAACAAGGTAGCCCCATAGATATTGTCATTACTGTGCCTTATGCATTTTAGGGGAAAAAAACACTGAAAATAACAGATTAGAATTTAAGAAAAGGAGCAGACTGAAGTAAAGTAAGTGAAGGGTGACCGAGCCAATTTAATATGCCCTGTTCTTCTCCCCCCCCTCTCTTTTCCATCTCCACCAGGAGAAGAATTTGGTTGGACCATGGAGCAGAAAGTAATGATGTCAGATGGTGCATGTAGACCAACGAGGGGAGCTTTGCCTGCCTTTGGATTCCATTTATGTTTATTTCTTATTGTACAGGTTTATTGTAATAAGAGGGGATCAGGGGGGATTCAGGTGAATAATTACCATTTTTGGGGGGTTAAAAAAAACATTTCATCAAAAAGGGTTGGAGTAACCCTTTAAATCGTTATCACAATCACTTCATACAAAGCACAGGGTGAAAGTGCTAAAGATTCCTTTTTTTTTAACTGTTTCAGTACTGGGCCTCTTGTAAGACGGTGTCTGTTGGCTCATCCTCCTGACACTCAGACGGTTGAGAGAACAGATGATACAGGTTAGCACCTGCTCATCGTGCTGGACAGTTGGGGATAGGCAACTGTAAAAATATTAATCTTTACATGCTGGTGGTGACCGCTGAAGGGTTAATTGTTCTTGCATTGAAGACATGAACGTTTCCTACTAGAATTTAAGTAGATTTGGTTAACGTACATTTGCATAAACTATTCCTTTAATTCCCTATTTGTTTGTTTTTTACACTTTGGCATGGTTTGCATGCGTGGGTGTAAGATATGCTTATGGCAACATAAATGTTTTTGCTTCCTTGTTTTGTACAAGGTGTTCTTTAAACTGCACGTTACTGACCTCTGCAGTATCAAACAGGCATGCATCACGTTCTTCAGAAACAAATGAACGTTTATTGAGATGGCTTTAGAGTGCGGGTTAAAGATTTACTATCCGGTTCAGGTACTTACTCGCGCTCCCGTAAATATTCCTTTTAAATGTGAACTGTTAAGGGCACATGTCCCTTGGCTTGGAAAATATTTCTTCTAGACCAGGCACGCTGGCTTCTCTCACTCAGGCCATGTGCTGGTAAATTCACGGCTGGATTGGCGAGGGGAGCAGAGGAACAGAGTGCAATGATATTCTTAATTTGTTGCAGAAATTTGTCATTTTTATCTGCACTACCAATCATGTCCACTTGAGGCGTCTGATTTATAGGTGTTTATGGCTCTTCACTTTCTGTGTATCTGATATACAGATATGGTTTATGATTTACAAGCAGCAGATGTTTTATACAGTACAGTGTCACACACAGACTACCCTGGATTACGTAATGCACATCGCAGTGAGATAGTTCAGTGGCTAGTGCTCCAGCTGCCGTAGCTCTGAAAAGCAGATTTTATTTCTGGCAGAATCAACTCAACATTTGATTCTTCTGAGGTTGAGGAGAACTCTCCAGTAATCCCCCCCAAAATGTTTTTTTTTAATGTATTATTTAGTTGATATACCACATACATGCATGCATGCATTTATATATTCCTTTTTACCTAAAAATAGCTTGTAAAAGCAGCAGATATCTTGCTTATAGTTTTCCTATTTTCCCCAGGCCAGACCGTTCTTGACAGAGATGCCGCAATGTGTACATGGCAATTCAATGCTTCTCAATGAGCTGTAATACAGTTCACCGAGAAGGGGG